CCATATGACCCTGCATCCCCATACTGGGAATATACCCTGAAGAACTCAAATCACTCTATAAAAAAGATACCTGCACACGTATGTTTATCACACGTTGTTCACAATAGCAAGAAACTGGAAACAACCATGCTGCCCATCGAAAGAGGACTGGATTAAAAAAAGTGGTACATATACACGATGGAATACTACGCAGTCATAAAAAAGAGCAAAATCATGAATTTCGCAGCAACCTGGATGGAACTAGAGTCTATAATACTGAGTGACCTCTCACAGAAACAAAGATCCGAGTATCACATGTTCTCACTCATATAATGGACCTTGAACATCCAATGTAATACTATAAGAAAATGACTGACGGTACTGGGAAACTATGGGGGGGGGAGGGGGATGGGATTAACAGTAGCAAATATCTGTCGGGGGATGGGAAAACACCTCTTATCAACAGGGTGCCTGAATGAAACATAATTGTACCCCTAACCCTTAACTGTACCCCACAAAACCATAATAAAAAATATTGATTAAAAAAAAAAGAATATGTAAATAAAAACCTATAGAGACATATCACTTCATACCTAACTAGGATAGTCATAATAAAAAAAAAACAAGAACAAGTGTTGTTGAGTATGTAATGAACAGAACACTTGTGCATTGCTGGCAGAAATGTGAAACTGAGTAGCCATTGTAGAAAAGTTTGGCAGCTTCTCAAAGGGTTAAAGGGTTAGACACAGAATTATCATATTACCCAGCAATTTCATTCTAAGATACATTTCCAAAATAACTTAAATTAGAGACTCGGGTACTGGTTCATGAATGTTCATAGCAATACAATAGCCAACATAGCATAACAATATGGCTAAAAGGTAGAAACAACCCAAATGTCCATCAACAGAGGAATGGAAAAAGAAATTGTTGAATACAACAGTCCCCTCTTATCCAAGGTTTTATTTTCCATGATTTCAGTTACCTGTGGTCAACCACAATCCAAAAAATACTAAATGGAAAATTACAGGAATAAACAACTTTGTAAGTTTTAAATTGCACAGCATTGTGAATAGCACGATAAATCCTGTACCATCTTATTTCAGTCCACCAGGATGTAAATTATCCCTCTGTTCATCATATCCACACTGTCTACACTACCTACCTGTTACTCACTTAATAGTCAACTGTTGCAGTATAGCAGAGCTTGGGTTCAAGTAACCCTTATTTTATCTAGTAATGGCCCCAAAGCACAAGTAGTGATACTGGCATATTGCCATAATAGTTCTATTTTAGTTACTGTTGTTAATCTCTTACTGTACCTAATTTACAAATTAAGTTTTATCAGAGGTATGTATATGAAAAAACATAGCATATATAGGGCTCGGTAATATTCACAGTGTCAGGCATCTAACGAGGCCTTGGGATGCATCCCTTAAGGATAAGGGAAGACATCTGTATGTAATAAGTTTTGCTTTGAACATAAAAAGGAATGAAGCAAAGATACATGTTATAACATGGATAAAACTTGGTAACATTATTCTAAGAGAAAGGAGCCAGACACAAAATACCATTTGCTGTCTGGTACCATTTATATAAAATATCCACAATAGGCAAATCAATGACAGACAGAAAGCAGAGTAGGTGTTGCCAGGCAATGGGGAGAAGGGAAGAGGGGAGTGATTACTTAATGGTTACAAAATGTTCCTCTGGATCTATGAAAAATGTTTGAAACTAGACAGAGGTAGTAGTTGCATAGTATTGTCAGTGTAATGAACACCACTGATTAAACACTTTAAAAAAAAAAAGTTCACTATATACCATCACACTGGAGATTAAGAAAAGAACAAATGGCCGGGCTGGGTGGCTCAGCCTGTAATCCCGTGCTTTTGGGAGGCTGAGGTGAGTGGATTGCCTGCGCCCGCAGGTTCGAGACACGCCTGGGCAGCGAGACCTCATCTCTACAATAAATAAAAAAATCAGCCGGGTGTGGTAGCTCATGCCTGTAATTCTGGCTACTCGGAAGGCTGAAGCAGAAGGATCGCCGGAGCCCAGCAGGTCAAGGCTGCAGTGGCCGGGAGCGGCCACTGCACTCCAGTCTGGGCGACCAAGTGAGACTCAAAAAAAAAAGAAAAGAACAAATGAACAAAAGTTAAATATAACCACCAAAAAATGTATCAAGTATATAACTTCAAAAATGAACAAAATAGGGAAAGAAAGATGTAAAAATCTTGATCAATAAAATAACCCAGAAAATTTAAAAATAAAAATGAAAAGTACAGTGAAGAGTAAACAAAGCAAGAAGACAGTAACCAGAAATAAGGATCCATCTTAGGATCAAGAGAGTAAAGATTGAATACTTTCCAAGGAATAACAGTTAGACTAAGGATTTTCTTTTTTTAAGTTTTTTGTGTATTTTAATTTTTTTTTAATTTTTATTAATCAATTACATGCTATTTTATTAACAAAGTGCTGGAGATACAATGAGCAATACAATATGAGGACTCTGACTTTAAAAAGCACACATTCTAATGGATACATGTGAGAGAGAAATGGTAAAATAATAACAGTGTTCAGATCTCACTTATGAGTGAGAACGTTGGTATTCAGTCTTTGTTTCTGTGATAGATCACCAAGTATGTTTATCTCCACCTCCGTCCAAAGGGAGGGGTGGGACTGGCAGTCGAGGAAAACTGCTAGAGGAGGGAGAGGCACACCTCATCCACAAGGGTACCTGCATGATCAATGTCTGCATACCTCACCCTGAATTGTACCCCACATCTTTATAATAAATAAATAAATTTTTAAAAAAGAAAGTGGACTGGAGAAAAAAAATGTGGCACGTATATACAATGGAATATTACACACCCATAAAAAAGGACAAAATAATGGACTTCATAGACTGAGAATTTTCAACATTGACAACTGAATCCTGAACACACTGGAATAATACCTTCAAAATGTTACAAGAAAAATGCATGCCAATGTAAACTCTTATTTTTATTCTCTGTAGCACCTATATTCAGGTAATACTACACCATACATTGATTGTCTGCTCTATGAGGACAACGTTATATACATTGCTGTATTTCACATTTCTTTTCTGCTATTAATTTTCCTAAAACCATCCTGATCATAGCACCAACCAAAGCTTATAATCTTATCATTCAAAACATATTTTCAATTGTGCAGAAAGATAAATATTGCATAAAAGATAAAATTTTAGTTTATTTCTTCCCCCCACCTCCATTTATTGTTTTTTTTACCTGATTCATCAACAGTTGATTTTCCTTCTAATTTCAGGAACACCTCATTCAAAGTTGTTATGGAAACACCATAATTCTCAATGCCTCGGTTAGAACATCTATCAAGATCCTTGAAAAGGTCTAAAAGTAGGCACAAAAATAGATGAAAGAATATAATTTATAATGATATTAGTAATAACTGTATTAAAAAAAACAGAAAATATTGTTGAGAAGCTAAATGTACTCATCAGAAGCAAAACTGGGATTTAGATGCTCCTCTATTTCTAAAATAATGTATATTATTATTAGTTACATCTTTTTAAAAAAATCCAAGTTCAATCTAAACCTTTTTTATTCTTAGGAAATTACATACGTATTTTTTGAAAAAAAAATTTAACATATTATTAAATGTTATTCCTGTTATGTTATTAACCCTCAATTAATTACATAATATTTTCTATAGAATAGAGATTTCTTCTTTCATATTCCAATTGTTAGGGAACTATAACAAAAGAATTAACATTTATAAAAATAATTAAGTGCTACTGAATATTTCCTAGTTTACAAATGTACAAATTAAAGGAAAAGACAAAGTATGTCTGTGTAACTTTGTGTGCTTGCTATCTGCCTCTCTCTCTCTCTCTCTCTCTCTCTCTCTCTCTCTCTCTCTCTCTCTGTGTGTGTGTGTGTGTGTGTGTGTGTGTGTGTGTGTGTGTGTGTGTATTTCAGCCTCTCTAACCATGATGTGAAAATTACACAGGAGCCTTTAAAGAGCTTAGATCCTTAAAGGGGTTTAGTAGGTCCTTCTGAAGGATTATTTTAAAATGATGTTGTGAATGATCCTTGAACAGTTCAGGAAAACTGAAAGTTGGATAAAAATAATAAACTAATTCAAATATTGGGAGAGATTTAAGGTTTCAATCTTAATTATGTATTGGATAAAGAAAAATACTGATGTATTCATAGCTTCTAATGAACTCTTACATCAACCTAAGTGGTTGGTTCTTTTTCAATCTTTCTCTAGATTGCTCATCCCCTTTGTAATTAAATAATAAGCAATCAAATAAAACCTCCCTGTGTGGTCTTCATAAACATTTCTGTTTTCATAAGTAATGCATATGTCAAAGATATTGTGTATGCATTGTATGCCATTATTTTACTGATTCTAAGGTGAATACATTTCATCACAATTTACCATATCTGAAATGAGAGGGATCATAAATGATGGTAAATAATATTTTAAATAGCAGCATTATATCTTTCTGTTTCCTTCTTAGTGGTACATCCTATAGTTAAGGGTTTCTTAAACCTGATGCAATACTATACACAGATATTATTCCAGATACCTTATTTATGTTTAATTTATATTCATAATTTGTATTTAATATGTTAATAATAAAATGAAATTACTAAATAATTTAATCTTCATAACCCCTTAGAGTACTATTGGGGTTTTCTTTTTTTACAAATGAGGAAACAGAGGTTCTGGAATTTGAATCTAATCTGGCCCTAGCATCTGAGCTCTGAATCGCTGTCCATGCTTGTCTGGTGCTGTTTCCTTTTGACCACGATTACAGGAGACTTAACAATTCAAGCATGCAACAGTGGCTCCAGTATCCTCCATTAAGAGTTGACAAATTCCTTGAACTTGGTAAGGTAAACACATTTTTATAGGCTATACTTTAAAAAAATAAAAGTAATCTACCTCAAAACTCTTTTAGGAAAGGAGGCAATGCACTGGGAGTTGTGAAAGAAAAGTGCTAATGAAACTGGTTGCTCAGGCTTCTGCAACGATCGCTGAGTTGTGAACCTTAGAATGATGGGAAGCATGCAGGTCTATCTTAATTGTCTTTAATAACTTGGATGATTCCATTATGTGATGGTGCTTATAAACAATCCACCATTGTGTGTTATTCCTTGTGCTCTCCTTCAGTGGCCTGCTACTGCATTCACAGAACTCTCCCTGCTCTGAGTGTGCTCTTTCGTTCATTCCTGAAACCAGTTTCCCAAATAATCTGGATTTTAGTTTGCTGCTAGCCTGCACCTCTTAATCACACATGTTGTGACGCGAAGTCTACTAACACGTACATGCCTTGGTTTACGAATAAGCAGCCGGGGGATAACATCAGAAACTAACATTAGAAGTGACCTCCTGGGGGCTGGGCTCGGTGGCTCAGCCTGTAATTCCAGCGCTTTGGGAGGCCGAGGTGAGTGGAGTGCCTGAGTGCGTGGGTTCAGAACCCGTCTTGGCCACTTGGCGAGACCGCATCTCTACAATAAATCAAAAAATTAGCTGGGTGTGGTAGTGCGTGCCTGTAGTTCCGGCTACTTTGAAGGCTGAGGCAGAAGGTTCGCCAGAGCCCAGAAGGTCAAGGTTGCAGGGGCCGGGAGCGTGCCACTGCGCTGCAGTTGGGGCGATGGAGTGAGATTCCAACTCAAAATAAATAAATAAAAATAATAAATAAAAAAAATAAAAAAGTGACCTCCTTGGGGATGGAAGTATTAAATGAGTTAATGCTTGGCACGTATTAAAACTAACTATCATTCTCATCACCACTGTTATTACTAGTAGCACCATTCCCAAATCATTCTGTGGTTTCTACATTTTGTTACCTGGAAATTTGTTTGTCCTTTCCAAAGGCAAAATATAGACAAATTTGTTCTCACTTTGTGCTGTCAATTTGGCATCGGGTATGTGCTGTTTAACCAGTGATGTTAGACTCTCCGGATCACACATTTCATTCAGATGCACACTAACATTTAAAGAGAGTACGTTAAAGTAGTTTTTATCCTAATCTATTTCTAAAAACAATTTTGCAACTATATACTATGTGCTTGTCACTTCATTAATATTAATCTCTATCATATCTCCGTTAATATGTACGAGACAAAACAAGGTCTAATTTACTGAATGAAGCAAGATGTAAAATCCGATTATAGTCTACACATTTTAATCTGTACAACATGTCAGAGGGACTAATCTAAAAAGTGGTAAGTCAGATGAGATAGCTCAAGGACTCTTGCTTGGAGAAAAGAGATATTAAGCCAGATCTTGGTTGGGGTAGGGTAGAAGAGAATATTTATTTTGGTCACCATCTACTGAAAAGCCCTTACTCAAAGACTCCCTTTGCAGAAATGTATGAATTCTGCAAAAACTAGAACCTGAAAGCTGTTCAGTCAAGAAAATGAGTGGAGAAGAGAGGAAGAGGAGAGGTGGGCAGATCAACAGAAACACAGGCTTATTCCAAGTAGGAGACCTGTAGATGGGAGCACCAGATTAGACTGGAACCCCCTGCTGCTTACAGACTAGGGCACCATTATAGGGTCTGAGGGGAAAACTTTGTGGTTGGCATTGTTAGGGGGGACCTAAGGCTAGTGGTTAAGTCAGTTGGGAGAAAGTCTAGCGATTAGGCTGTTACATATGGCAGGTTGTTTTGTAACTTTGGCCTAGTTGGTAGCTAGTAAAGAGGTGGGGGTTTCTAAGAAGACATTCTCCAGGTTAACAAACACGAGAAAACAAAAATGGGAGATAATTTGGGACAGCCATTAAGAATACGTTCCTTGAATCCTGCCAATGCAGACTCTAGAACTCAGGCAAGTTGTTAGCCATCTCTGAGCATTCATTTTTTTTTGTTGTTGTTGTTTTTTCATCTGTGAGATGAAATAATACCTAGATCTCAAAAAGACTTCCAAAGACTGAATTATAATTTATATATGAGATGGCACAGGGTCTTGCACTAAGTAAGCCCTCTATACATGTTAGCTAATTTTATCATTTTTGTCCAAAATTTATTCAAGTCTAAGCTGGTCTGTCTTTTGATAAGAATATAAAGTTCTCCATTAACTTATTGGATTTTAGAGACTCTATTGTTAGTCATAGCCACTGAGATGTGCTGAGAAGACAGAGTGAAGAGAACATCACAATGGACCAATGACACAAACATAAATAATTGATTTTAAAAAACTATTGTGTCTCCAAGGCCCTGTACTAAGTGCTATCAAGGATGCAAAACAGAAAAAAAGGATGCAAAACAGGAAGAAAACAATAGCTTCCCTAAAGAAGTTGTAACATAATGATAATATAAAGCAATATATTATGGAAGCAGAGAGGGAGAGGGAGGGAGTTAACTTAGATGAGCTATTTGCACCTTGTCAAGCATTTGTTTACTCGGCATTTCTTAGCTGTAATTGCAAAGTAGGTATTATTACCACTATTTTATAAATGAAGTTACTGAGCATCAAAGAAGTTAATTAAGTTTCTTAAGGCAACAATTCAAAAGAGTGCATTTAGGGAGACAGAAAAGAGAATGCTAATTAAGAAAAAAGCATTTAGAAAAAACCTTCAAGAATGGATAAGATTTGGATGGTTTTGAAGGAAGACATGTGAGGTAGACACCCCCTTTTAAGCAGAAACAAGGCAATTAAGCTATGGAGCATACTACAAGAACAGGGAGTGGTTTATTTTAGTTAGAGGATACTGTTCAATTAGATTGCAACAAGCAATAATGATGGAATGGTAGGTTTGATCAGGTTAAGCATTTGCAGTAAATAATGGGGGTTCTATTTGTTTATTCACTGTATGAAGTGACAAATTATTTTAAAGAAATGTTAATATTTTAGTCCAAAGAATAAGAAGCAATTCACATCACATCTGTAACCTTGATCCAAATACTCTACTACTTATAAGCCCAAGAAATTAGCAGATTATTAAAACTGCCTGATGTGGTATTCTCACTGGTCAAAGGAAGTTGATCGTAGCATCTTCTTATATTTATTTAGAGGATTAAATATGGTAATATGAGTATTCTAAATGTATCTTAGCAAGTGCCTAAAACACAGCCAACAATCAATATTAATAGATATTACTTCACAAAGATAATAATTGTTATTGAGAAGAGAAGAAAAAGCAAAGGAATGAGGGAGAAAATGAAGTCTTGGGAAAATAGAGAGGAGGGTATTTAAATGGTCAAGATGAACAAAATAGACATCTAAAATATGATATAATAAAGGGTTGGAATAGCAGTAAATGACCCTTAGCAAGCAATATGTTATGAGAATATTTTGTGAAAATTTTATTTAAGCCGAGGCTAATTATCCTTATCTTTTCAGTGTCTATAACCTCACATATATTTTCTATCTAAAAAAGAGAGCAACTGTGACTTAATGCTAAGACAGCTCTCTTAAAATGAACTTAATAGCAGTATAGCCCGCTTTGCCATATTGATACTGGTATCACCCATCTCCAGCATGTTTCAGCATGCTGTGTCTCCACTGTTAAGGACTATACCTTAAATTGTAGCCAATGCCCCATTTTTTCTTCAGGTCTAGCGAAGAGCCTGCATACTTCAGCCTCCCATTGGATATGAACGCCTTCCGATCTATTTAAGAAAGAACCGAAAGATACATCGCATTGAGTTATTCCTTCACTATTCATAAAAGAGCAAATCCATGAACAAATGATGAATTTTATGAGTGTAACACACTAACATTTACACATTACAGTTCTTGCCATATGTAAACCACTTTCTTTGTCATCCAACAACTGCAATGATAAATTACATTAGTTTATCCTTTAGCATATTGAGAAAAATTATTATGCATATAAAGGATCTGTTTCAATTAACCTGACTTCAATATCCAACACAACAAATTATATCCTTGGGGTCAAGTCCTCTGGGATGCAGACGCTCCTGTCTTGGCCCACGGTGGGCCCGAGGGAGACAAACTGTGGAGCACGCCTCTTCATGTTTCTCACATCCTCCTAACTTCTCAATAAGATACATGAAAAAAAAATTACCAGCCAAGCTGTCAGCCTCATCCATGAACTGCGTACTGAGGAGAATCACCCTGTCTGATCTCCTCTCTCTCAGAAGATCCCATACTCGGTGCTGTGAGAGAAGATCCATGCCAGCAGTTGGTTCATCCAAGAGTAAAACCTGGCCAGCAGAAAAGCATGCAAAATCACTCTTCTCTTCCAGGCAAGATTATTCTAAAAAGGATGGTACTTGTAAAAGTATTTGGGAGAAATACCTTAGTACTTGACACTTTGTCATAGAAGTTCTCTTACATTTGTCATTTGCAAATTAAGCTTGATCTAATAAAATAAGTTCATAGTTTTTAACCCAATTTCATCAGTAAGTTTAGCCTGACTTACCTGAGGATCTCCTAACATGGCAATCCCAAAAGTTAGCTTCCTACTTTGTCCACCACTTAAATTCTGAGCCAAAATATCTTGAATATTTTCCATCTTCAATTCTTGCAAAGCTCGCCGTACCTAGCCAAATAAAGACTGTTTAGTCCAAAGCCTAGAATGATTATCTAAAAAATACGATCGGAGACAGGGGACAAGATGGAGATGTAACTGGTCAGTATGTGTGAGTTCCTGCGTGGGCGAGTGTCCTTAAAGATGAGTCTGCATCCATTTGTGTGTGCAAGTGGGTGAGCAAATGTCTGAATGAAGGGAGACACAGGATCAAGCACTTGGGGCTCCCTTGGAGAAGCAGCTGCAATTTATCACTGTTCTGAATTCAGTGCCCCCCACATGCAGGAACATCTGCCATTCTCAAGGCATCTTTCAGGAAAAGGCAGCAGAGATCAGCTGCCTCTTCACATCTGGCCCACACCACCACCTGTGGCAACAGGCCAGGCACTGGCAGCAGGGATCACGAAGAAAGCAGGGAGGAAATATGGAGCTGAGTCCTGCCTGCGGATAAGATGCAGGCTAATGCCGTTTTCTCTGTCCTGGAACCAGGCAGCGACCTGCTCTAGCTTGCCCAATTCTGAGCAGCCTGTGTCCTGAGACTGAGGGGCAAACTCCACACCCTTCTGCATCGACCATAGTTGGCCCAGAGAGGATACACCAACTGCGTGATACCAGAAAGACAGATTCCCCAACCCCCACACTGAACCAAACACAGATGCTTGCAATCAGGATGGGAGACATAGCAGCAGATGAGTTGGGGTGAATCCGGATCTGAGTCACCCTCCTTCTCCCAGAAGTCCGTGGGGTGTCTGACTCATGTGGAGAGCAGCCTGATTGGTCTGCCTGCTGAGAGCAGAGAGGAGGGTCTAGAGACCCGAGCTCATTCCCTACCATGGCAACAAGTCAAAAGCAGCAGTGTTGGGGATATGCCAGTAAAAAAAAAAAAGAAAGAAAAGAAAAGAAAGAAAACAAAAAAGAAAAGGACCCTAAAGTTCCAGAAACAGTCACAAAAGGGAGTTCTTTGTCCCCACCACTCTCTCTATACATATTTTCTGTGTGTGTCTTCTGATTTGATTTGCCCCTATTTCTCCCTCTTTTTTTGCATATAAGTATATTTATGGGTGAACGCATGGTCAGCTTTTGTTTGTTTTTTGTTTGTTTATCTGTTCATTTGCTTGACTGTCTGTTTTTCTTCTTCTCCCTCTTTTCATCTTCCTTTCCTCTCCCTTCTTTCTTTCTCTGTTCTTTTCCTTCCTCTTATTTCATTCGGTTTCAAGTAGGCATACATATATTCCCACTGCATGGACATATTGTAAGGTGGTGGGAAGCTTGTTCCAGGGGACCCAAATCCTAATCAGAGGATACTGCAATCTGCAGGTAGCTTCTGAGTCATAGCTTTCCCCATTACACCTTAATTTAGTCTCAAAACTGCAAAAAGACAGCACAGTCCTCCACCCTAGCCCAGCTTCAAAACTGAACAAATCCAGAAGTTATACCCAAGGAAGACTAGGGGGATGAGCAAATGGAAGTGAAGGCTACCCCTCTGATAAGGGTGTCATTGAGCAATGGAATTAAAGAAGGGAAAACGGTGGGGGCGGGAGGGAGAAATCCATTATAAATGAAGAAGAATCAATGGAAGAACATAGATACCCCCCAGACCCCTAGAAAGATAGTACCTGAGAATACAGACTTCAGAACTCAAGCAATGAAGAGTCTCCAGAATGATTGATCTCAAACCAAAAATCCATACATCAAGGTATAGAAGGAGAGGATGAATAAAAATGAAGAAAGGCAAGAATAAAGAGTGAAAGAATTGATAACTGAGATGAAGGCAATAAAGAATACAGCAAACAAAATAACAAACTGACAAGCATGGAAAGCAGAATTAACCAAACAGAAGAAAGAATCTCAGAGCTTGAAGATTGAAATATGAAACTAACCTGTTTTTAACTAGATGGTTAAAAACATAGAAAGGAAGCTTAAAAAGACAGAACAAGCCAGGCTCAGTGGCTCAGCCTGTAATCCCGCGCCTTTGGGAGGCTGAGGTGAGGGGATTGCCTGAGTCCGTGGGTTCGAGACCCACCTGGGCAGCGAGACCTCATCTCTACAATAAATCAAAAATTCAGCTGGGCATGGTAGCATATGCCTGTAATTCCAGCTACTCGGAAGGCTGAGGTGGAAGGATTGCTGGAGCCCAGCAGGCGAGGCTGCGGTGGCCGGGAGTGGCCACTGCACTCCAGTCTGGGCGACAGAGAGAGACTCCAACTCAAAAAAAAAAAAAGGCAGAAAAAAGCCTCAACAAGATGTGTGACTATAATAAGAGACCAAACTTACACCTGATCAGCATTCCTGAGGCAGAAAGGGAGACAGAGACCACACTGGAACAAACATTCCATGAGGTCATCCAAGAAAATTTCTCTCATCTTATCAGACACATGACCATCCAAACACAAGAGATTCAGACAACTCCTGCAAGGCATCACATGAAAAGACCACTCCTAGACATATAGCAATTTGGTTACACAAAGTAGATATAAAAGAACAAATCCTAAAGGCAGCATAAGAGATCGTTCAGACTACCTACTGGGGAAGACCAATTAGAATAGCAGCAGACTTATCTATGGTAACACTACAGTCTAGAAGAGACTGCAGACTAATCTTCAAAGTTCTCAAAGATAAACAATTCCAACTAAGAATGTCCTACCCAGCTAAGTTTCATCAGTGACAGAGAAATAAAATCCTTCCCAGACATTCAATCCCTAAGAGTTTATGCTGTCTCCAGATCAGCTTTACAAGAGATGCTTAAGAATGTATTAAGGACTGAAGAAAGAAAAACAAGAATGACCATGCTCTTCCCAAGAATGCAGGAAAATAGAGAATCAACACAGCATGCATTCTGACTGCAAGTTGAAAACACACATATATCAACACAAAAAGCAAAAGAAAACCAACCAACCAACAAGCAAACAACAACAACTATAACAATAAACTTTATAAGTTCCTCGTGACAGATAAACTCTCACATGTCAATAATCAGCTTGAACATGAATGGACTAAATGCACCACTGAAAAGACAAAGAATGGCAAACAGGATTTAAAAAAACACGACCCAACAACATGCTCCAGGAAATGCATCTCATTACAAAGGGCAGTCACATTCAAAGTAAGAAGATGAAAAACAAATGTTCAGGCAAATGGAACACAAAAGAAGGTAGGAGTCATGATCTTAATATTTAAAGCTTAAAACAGCCTTTATGCTATCAAAAATTTTAAAGATATGGAAGGACACTACATAAGATAAAAGGTTCATTCCATCAACAAGAAATATTCATCCTAAATATATATGCACCAACACAGAAGCACCAGATTTTGTAAAGCAGCTACTAAGTAAATTAAAACAAGATATTGACTCTAACACTATGATATCTAGGGATCTAACCTAAACCTTAGTTAAATCATCAAGGCCAAAAATCAACAAGGAGATATGGACCCTCAACTTGACACTTGACCAAAGGAACTTAATAGATAACTACAGAACACTCCACCTAACAACCATAGAATATGCATTTTACTCATCACCACATGGAACGTACTTCAAGATCAATCACATATTTGCCCATAAATCAAGCATAAAAAATTGTCATAATCGAAATACTGCTGTGTACTTTCTCAGACCACAGAGGAATAAAAATAAATATCAACTCCAACAGAATTCCCCTAAAACACACAAAGACATGGACACTAAATAACATGATGCTGAGCAACTCCTGGGTCAACACAGAAATCAAAACAGAGATTAAAAGATTCCTGAAAACCAGTGAAAATAAAGATACACCTTGTCAAACCCTCTGGGATGCCATGAAAGCAGTACTAAGAGGGGGAATTCATATCTCTATGAACATACATCAAGAAAAATAGAAAGACCGCATGTTAACAGTCTAAAAATCCATCTAAGAAAGCTGGAAAGATAAGACCACCAAAACCCTAACTTCAGCAGAAGACTCCAGGTCACCAAAGTAAAAGCCCAAATACAGGACATAGAAAACAAACATATCAGAAAAAAATAATTGAAACAAAAAAGCTGGTTCTTTGAAAGGATAAACAAAATTGATGGACCCCTAGCCAGATTGACCAAGAAAAGGCAAAGTCCATATTTTGTCCTTCTTGAATCCCTATTCTGCTCCACCCACAGCAACTTGGATGGATTTAGAGTCTATAATACTCAGTTAATCTATCATAGAAACAAAGAACTGAGTACCACATGTTCTCACTTGTAAGCAGACCCTGAACATTTATCATACTATAAGAAAGGTATTGGCAGTGGCAGAACAGAACACTGCCAGGGAGGGGGATCACATAACATCAATAAGGGTGCCTGACCTCAAACCAGGCAAAGTGGGGACCAAAGGAATGCCCAAACTCTACCTGTACAGTGATCACTTATCTACCTAATTCTGAATTGTACCCACATCTTTGAAATTTAAAAAATGAAAATGGAAAAAAAAAGTACAATTATTTTTCCTGATCTTTACAACGGCCTTTTTAACCCAACCTGTAGATGATGAATTGTGTAGAAACAACACAAATACATTTATAATTTTTTAGGTAAACAATCTAATTTTCATGTCTGTGTGTCTACATGTTCATATACCTCTTGTTCCACTTCCTGTGGCAGAATTCCTTTTACTTTAGCAAAAAGCCTGAGATTTTCTCTCACAGTGAGAAAGCCGAATTGCACATTGGATTGTGGACAAATTCCCATGAGTTTAGTGACAGTTTCCAGCTCAGCCACTTCTGAAAGTGGGTGATTATAGATAGTGACCGAACCTGTAAGCAAAAAGTTGAGATTTACCATTAGGACAATGTGTCATGCTTCACCAAAGAGGTTGTAGAATGGAATACAATGTATATCAATTATTATATTTATTTCAGCGTCGTTTACCTGTAAGGAGTGCACAGCTGCAATGTTCACAGTGACATCTGATACAGCTGGGATGCCAGTTAGTAACGGAATAATCATAAAGCTACTTATGAAATATTTAAAATGCAAACAATATTTTTCTAAATAAATATAATACAACTCAATTTAAAAAGAGAAACTTCTAAAACTTTACTCTTGAATGCCTGAGTGTAATGAGTAGTTAAAAACTATTAAAGTTAACTTAGGAAACTAATTCATAAAATGCACAGGTAATTCATTTGCTTATGCTATTGTCCTTGGATAACTGTCCTCTCACCTGATGTTGGAACTGACAGCCCACTAAGTATGTTTAGCAGCGTGGTTTTTCCAGCTCCACTGTGACCGAGGAGGGCTGTGATCTGGCCTTCATAGATGTCAAACACCAGACCTGGCATGGTTTCAAAATAAATACACTCAGAGCCTACATATTAACTTTACAGTCTCTAAAATTTTTATAATTTCCTGCAGCATATTCAAAATAAAGTTTGTCTTAAAATTCTTTTAAAGTGATCTCTCAACATTGTATAGTTATAGCCTCATCAATAGGTGATTATGCATTTAACAATGTTTTGGATAAAAGTTGTAGCATTAAGAGGAGACTGTCTAAAGAAATCCAAACCTAAGACTGGAGCATAGGATGAGATGGAAACAAAGAATTTCATGACACCATCATATATCTTCCAAACACAAAAGATTCTTAATAGTACACTACTTCTTAAAATTGTTATGTGTTGTGTTCAAATAAAAGAGCGTCTTGATGTCTGAGACACCCGATCTTAATCCCCACCAAGATGCTACAACAGTGAAGCCGTCACTAAATCAAGCAGCTATATCAAATGGAACGCTATTTTATTACCTCCCAAAGCTTCTACTTTTCCATGCTTTCTTGTATATTCTTTTTTAAGATTTTTGATTCTGAAAAAAAGAGGAAAATGTTTTCAGAAAACTGTAAAAATGAACAGAGGATGGTTAAATCCCGTATTTGAGGCTTGATCAAAGCCTAAAAGAAAACCTGAGGTTTCCTTTCTTTCCTGCAGGCACTGGCAGAAGCATCCAGGCTGTGTCATTCAAAAGAGCATCCCTGACCACTGTACGCTGAACAGGTTAAATATGGAGGGCATAGCTAGCATTCAAACATATGTTGTTATGAGGATTGGGACAGATGACTGGATACAAGGAGACAAAATCGCTGGTGAGGAGACACTAAGGTAGAGGAGAGAAGAGAAACAGCACACCGCAGCAGAGAGATTGGGGCTTTGGCATCAAGCTGTTCTGGGCGGAGTCCTAGTTGTACCACTTGCTAGCTCTGTTACAAACGCCATGTACTCGAAAGTCATTAAGTTCAGTTCTTCAGCAGGAAAATGGGGGTGACAACCTTAACTAACCCACAGGACTGAATGTGGAGTAAATCAGAGAATAAATGTAGAGCACAAAATACTTGGAACACGGTGAAGCTTGAGGAAGGAGAAAGATGGCACGGAAAAGGATTTAAAACAAAGACACATTTTTAAAAGAGTGCATGCAATAAAAGATTTTAAATGAGTAGAAGGTCTAGTGTAAGCCAGATGCTGTGGATTTCATTTGCATTGTTTTCTTGCATTATCACAATTAACCAGACGGTAGGTGAGTTTTTCCTCCAGTTCTTCTTTTTCAGGCATAATTGATATCAGCTTGCTTTATTACTTATTGCATCTAAGCACTATGGGTGATGGGTTTTTTCCATATGTTTTGATGGAGCTTAACTTTAGTGTTTAGGCAGTAGATTCCAGATTAGGTGTTTAGTGTGATAATATTAGGTTGATGCATAAGTTCGTAGTTTTGTTTTTGGCATGGCATCACGGCGGTGCTGGGAGTCTGTTTATCATGTGTCATGTGGAGTGACAATGTTGTGCTTGGGAATATGCCTTGCAATTTGCAGATTTGAAGAAAATTAGTGTTATCTGTGAACTAAAGAAGATGTAGCTCTGTTACAAGTGCCATGTACTCAAAATTCATGAAGTTCACTTTCGACATGTTTTTCTGTTTGAGTTTAACAGAGTAAAGGCAGCAGAGACAGCTCAGAACATTTGCGCTGTCCTGGGAGAAGGCTATTGAGGAAAGTACGGCAAGAAAATGGTTTTGTCATTGCCAAGAGGGCCACTTTGACCTGGGAGATTCTCCACATTCGGGAAGACAGTCAGGCCTGGTGAAGACCATTTAAATACTTTAATCTGGGATGATCAATATCGGTCTACCTGAGAATTGGCAAATGTGGTGAACGGTGACAGTTAATCATCATGTGACATTTACATTCCACAGGCAAGCAAAACATGCTGTGAACGTATGCAGCGGTGTGTGTGTGTGTGTGTTTTGAGTTGGTGTCCCACTCCATCGCCGGGCTGGAGGGCAGTGGCACGCTCACGGCCACCCCGATGTCGACCTGCTGGGCTCTGGTAAGCCTTCCACCTCAGCCTTCCAAGTCGCTGGAACTACACGCTCACACTATCACGCCTGGCTAATTTTTATTATGTATTAATTTATTTATTGATTGTAGAGACGAGGTCTCACCAAGCTGCCCGGGGTTGGTCTCAAAGCCACAGGTCAGACAGTCCATTCACCTCAGCTTCCCAAAGTGCTGGGATTACGGGCTGAGCCACTGAGCCCGGTCAACCCAATATAGCTTGATCGACATTTCATTCTGCCTTATATGCTGAGGAGTGATTATGAACCCAGTTGTCTTGGCCTCTGGGACACAGAGAATGACCCAGAACTTCAGAACGCTATGCACTGGTCTGCTGGATGCCGTCCAGGCCACAGCAGTGAAGCAGAACAGGCAGTCTTGAGCGGCCCCCTGATAGACAAGACCTTCTGCACTGTCCTGACAGGCAGCTATGTGAGATTCTGCTTCCAATTTCTCCCCACTCATGGGAACAATTTGTCTAGAGCATAAGATCGATCTTGTTATCCACAATTCACAAACCTTCAATACCTTCCTCCATGCCCACTGGGCAAATAAAAACACTTTCTTTCATCATCCAAGGCCTTCTGTGACTTCTCTGCCAGAACCTGATTCTGGCCAGCTTAGAGGGAGGTCACAATTCTTGAGAACACGGTACTAACTCATAAGGCTGAGAGAATACTACTCTTCGCATTCTGTTCATATGGGACATATATTTTAAGAAACTAAATATTTAGAGACATTGAGCATCATAAATACTCAGAGCTAAAATACATAGCGGACGAGGTAGATCAGAAAAGTGCCATTCAGGGATGAATGGTGAACAAAATTTGAGCCAAGATCTGCGGCACTAGAGTTTTCTAAGTCGTTGGGACCCAAAGCGACCAGCATTGAACAAAGCATCATCCTAGAGGGAAGATAGGCCTGGCCCTGGCCCTCTAACTTCTCGTATTCCCTTCCCTTCTCTCTGGAATGTCTCTCTCCCCCTCTCTGCATCTCTTGCCTTTTCTCCTCGTCTTATTCCAAGCCAGGAAGCCAGGAAAGGAAAAACGGGAGGGTCAGAGTGAATGACAAAAGAGGGAGGAGCTGAAACCGGGAGAGACCTGGTAGTGTCTGTCACAAAGAGAGTGACAGAGGAAGGGGGAGAAAACCACAAAGAGAAGCACCAAGAGCCAAAAGATAAAAGTGGAAATCGAAGGGCTGCTTATTTGCTGATGGCTATCACACCACCTTGAAACATTCGTGAGTGCAAACGCTGAGAATGGGAGGAAACCAAGTGCTGCGAAGAATGAGAGCAACCTTTCCTGAACACAGCAGGCTGCTGCAGGTGAGCACCAGGGCACAGCAGGAGATGTCTGCGTGAGGGTTTTGCCTGCCTGGATCCCTGGTCTCGGAAGAGCAGTCTCTGGCCTGCTCTCCACTGACGCCTCCGTGTGATTTATGTGTTACCTGATGGCTTCTTTCCCACGAAACTCGGGAGACACTGGTTCGAAAGAGTCATCAGATGCAGGGTCAGACTCTATTTCATTCTCAAGGGCCACATGATGAGTCCTTTGGTGTTGAAACCAGAAAGATTTTTTCAGGAAAAACAAGGGAGGACGTCGGCGTCCGTAGTCAGCTGCAGGAGGCAAACACCAGGTCAGTCATCACTTCGAGGATTAGAGCCACACTAGAGCAACATGTCAGTGCAGCCCCTTTGATAGGAAGCCTGAACCCACGTCATCACATTAAGGTATTAGTGTTTTCATGTGCTTTTGACATACACAGACGGGTGAAGAGAAACTAACTGAAATGTTACCACCTAATACGATGTTTCTAACGTGAGACACTTGTAACATTGTTAGCTAAATAAAAAGCTCCTCAAAACCCAGTGAGTTGTTCCTGGAGGAATTTAAAGCCACTTAACAACTTTCACTTCAATTTTGCCAGATAACTGGAATGTGTTTCCCAGAGGTGCTGGCTACACTGAGAAACAGACATTGTTTCATCAAGCTGATAGGGACTGATGAATTTACAACATAGGGTATCCCTTTTAACTTGGCAGAGACAACAAAATTAGAAGCAACCTCTTAAGAGTGGAAGAAATGAGGGGAATGGGTATTAATGAAGAAACAAAGGAGAGGGCTTTCTGTTGATAATTCTGTTGATAATTCTTATCAGCTTTTGATCATCATTAATCTGAGCAGAAACAGGATAGGAAAAGAACTAGCAAAAGCTAAAAATGACAGAGAAAAGTGCATTATGGATGAGCTATGGAAGTTTTCACCAGACAATACGGTGTGATTGATTAAGCACATTTCTAAATTTACGTGTATTTTTCACATATACTAAATCTTTTTTGGGGGGGTCACTCAATTCATTAGTCCTGTCAGAATGGTCATGAGGCTTCCCGGGATCATTTTCTCCCAGTGAACTCAAGCTAGATGCTACTCCTCAGAACTTCCATCTTAATGGAGCTCACAAGCTATTTGTAACTTCTTTAAAACCTGACCCAGAGTAATTTTCAAACTCAGTAAGTCACAGCTAATGAAATACAATTCTTTTCTGTTCTGAAAATCACTGTAGACAACTGTTGTGCCTTCTTAAAAGGTCTTTTGACATCTATGTTTCTCTAAAATTGCTAGTCGTACTTCATGGATCTTTTCCTCAGTTCTTTATAATAACCTGCATTTCAAAGATGTGTCAATAATGCAAAATAACCTCATTGATAGTAACTGAACATCCTGGTATTAACTTCTTACTCATTTTAATCTTAAATTTGCCCTTACCATGTTCCAACTGCTTTCAAAAGTTGACTATATTCTATGTTAATAGAGCAATTATACTTTTAAAAGTTTTTATTTTCCAAATGTATTTTATTCACAACATTTTATCACATGTCCAAATTCTATGTATTATTATCCTATTACAACATCTTTTTAAACAATAGCTTTTTAATTCTATTTTATTAAAGTATTTTACATACATTTCTAACTCTTTTGCCTTACTGTTTTTATATATCCCATTTTTGATAGCTCTTGGTCAGGTTAAGCATATTCTCTTCCATTTCTAGGTTGGCAAAAACGTTTTTATCCACATTTATGGATATTTGATATTATCAAATTCTAGTTTATATGGATGAAGATAATGACATGATTCTCTTTACTCTATTAATGATAAATTTTCTGCTGAAATAAATTATTCTTGGTTATTATCCATTAATTAATTGAAGTACTGTTGGAGTTGATTTGGTTCTGCTTGCTTAGATTTCATAACCATGTGCAAATGTCAAATTACTCTAAACATTTCTTTTCTCATTTTTCTCACATCATCTTGTCTAGTCTCCAAAAATAAAGTGGGTTCTTTCACTGGCATCCTTCCTATGCAGTGGTTTTGTGATTCCTTCCATTTGGATTAGCGAAGGTACATATTCCAAGTATAAAGGTAAGTATCATAACAATAATGAGAAAACTTGAAATTTTCTATTTTGGAGTTTTTGAAAACATCAGAGAGTCATTATTCTGTATTCATCATGTCAGAAACATAATGAATAAAATGATCAAAAGTCTCTTTCCTTTCCTCTCCCATTTCTCTTCCTGCCTCCTCCCCAAAATTTATCTAGTAGATATAAGGAGTGATTGGCAAACTCCAGAGATGCACATGAAGACCTTGCTTCTCCATAGAAGAGATACTCATTCAACAGGCAATTATAACATTGTTTATTAGTTGCCCACTGTTGTCTGCAAAGTGAGTTAAACAAGGAAGCACTTAAAGATGACTAAGATCAAGTATCAAGAACCAGCATTCTTCATTTAGGTCTGATACAAGCACTCACAGCATAATTAACCATAATCTCTTGCAAGTGTCTTTTTTAAAAGAAGAAACATCCTGAAGTGTTAGAATAGAACAGTCATAGAAAGTAATTCTAGAATCAAAGTGCAGAATATCATTAGGCTTGTCTTAAATATTTTGAAAAAAGATTCTTGCTAATTGAGATTTAATACATTGTAAGGTCATTTTAAAGAAAGGTCATTGATTAAATTTTGTGGAATCACAATTAGGCTAGTACTTACAGGGCAAAACTTTGTCAAAATATAACGTCAATGTCAAATAGAGAAGGGTATCAAGCATCAATATGAAGAAAGTAGCTATGACTAGATGTGGGTTATGTGAAGAATTCGAATGGGCATTAGCATCCACATCGGAGTCCAAACGTAGAAGCTGGAAAAAAAAATGCTGAATTTTTAAAAGATTAACACAGCATCAATAATTATGATTGTCTTATTTTTGCTGGACACTGGGAAACATAACAATGAAATTATCCAACTACAAAGCAACTTGGAAAGTGAATGAAGGTTGGTATTAAGCACTGAGAAACCCACAGGCAGCACCAGGTAAGTCTTGTAGGAGGGGATACAAACTCAGGGAGGGTGGTATTTGAGCTGGACTAATATTAGACTTTGTCAGGCTTAGGTTGGGGACAAAAGTAAGGCATTCTAGACAGGAGATTCCATTTCAGGCTAAAAACATGGAGGGGTGAAAGTACTTCAGTAATTGGGCAGAAGACAGAAAAATAATTTCTTCCTGAACTATTAATGGGTTTATATGTAACAGCCTTTCATCTGACATTTTATAGCTTTGATGTCATAACTAAAATTAACTTTTCTGAGAGGAGGTTCAGTTTGATACAGAAATGGACAATTTAAAATAATTATTTATTCCAAATTCCTGGTTTTCAAATGCTTGTGATAACATTAAGGGTCATGTTTCCTGAGCACTAAATCAAACAAATGTTCATTGGGCAACCACTTAGAAGTAGAAGCTGAACCACATCAATAACAGAGGATCACTCCACGTTTGATGACTTAAGAGAAAACTATGCTGGAGAGAAAAATAAAGACCTCTCCTATCTCTTAAGTGCTCATTTGTACAAAAGTAGGATGACATTTTAATGCTGAGAATATGTTGCATGTATTGTTAGGAGGGAATCTGTGAGAATGATTTGTAAAAAGTGAAATTGTTACCTTAACTCTTACCTGGGCCATCCCAATCGTGAAGGTAAAGGGACTAAGAAGAAAAAAAGCCCATTCCAAAAATACTGGAATATTTGTGTACAATGCTGTGAATCCCAGAATCCCCCAAAAGACAATCAGGAGAAAGACAACCAAGCCAGTAAGGAAAGGTTTCTTTATCAACACGCTCATCAGGAAAGCTAAAGTTATCTGAGAGGAGAAAAAAGAAAAAAAAATAAGCTGGTATATAATTCTTTGAGAATCATCAATTGCACAAAAGAGGGATTTTATATTATAAAAGTATATTTCATCAATTCTCTAACCCTAGATATTGTTTCATGCAAACGCTGCAAGCAACAACTGACTAGAGTCAGTAACAAATGATTGGCAGGAAAGACAGATTGAGATTAAGGTCGCCAACTTACCAAAGACAGGCCGTACAGGAGAAAGAGAATGAAGACCATCACAAAACCAGTTAGGACGATAACGTGTGCGTATTTTACAATAAGAGCCATCAAAGTGGCCACAATAAGGATGTAGCCAGCATACATCAAACCCCAGGACAGCCTAACAGGGAAGCAAGCATTCATTCAGAGTGTTGTTACTTCATCATTTTATTCATACATCTATTCAACAAATGTTCTGTGGAGGTCACCATTTTTTATCAAGAGTAGAGAGAATGTCATAGCTTACAAATCAGAACAATTCCCTGCCTTGGAGCTCATCTAAGACAGGGGATGGTAAGTAATAAACAAGGAAACAGGTGAACTAGATTGCTAGTTGCAAGTGAAGAAAACCTCAGTGACACAGTGGGCACAACTGGCAGAGATTTCCAAGGAGAGCCTTTCGGGGAAGACATCTATGATGATCTGTCTGTTCTGGACAAGTTCTTACAGTCACATGATGGTTGAAACAATATAGACAATAATTATGACAATGAAGCAGAGGTCAGCAAGCCCTTTTCTAAAGAAGCCAGGTTATAAATATCTGAGGCTTTTGCGGGCCACGTGGTTTCCATTGCAACCACTCGGTACTGCCTCTCTGCAGCACAACAGTGGTCATTGACTACATGCAGATGATGTGCGGCTGTGTTCCGAGAAAAATGAATTGGTTGACAGTGATATTATGATTTGGGATATATTTTGATTTTGGATACATTTTGATTTGAGATACCAAATATGGTTGTTCTTTTGATTTTTTCCAAGCATTTAAAAATAGAAAGGTCACTCTATAGAAAAGATACCTGCACACGTATGTTTATCGCAGCATTGTTCACAATAGCAAGAATGTGGAAGCAACCATGCTGTCCATCAAAAGAGAACTGGATTTTAAAAATGTGGTACATATACACGATGGAATATTACGCAGCCATAAAAAAGAACAAAATCATGAATTTCGCAGCAACCTGGATGGAACTAGAGTCTATAATACTGAGTGACCTCTCACAGAAACAAAGATCCGAGTATCACATGTTCTCATTCATATAGTGGACCTTGAACATCCAATGTAATACTACAAGAAAATGACGGACAGTGGTGGAAAACTATGGGGGGGAAGGGAAGGGAGATAGGATTAACGGTAGTAAATATCTGTCTGGGGACGGGGAGACACTTCTTATCAACAAGGGTGCCTGAACGAGGCATGTTTGTATACCTAACCCTTAACTGTACCCCACAATATCATAATAAAAAATATTGATAAAAAAATAGAAAAGTCATTCTCAGTCTGCAGATTGTACAAAAATGGCCTATAGTTTGCCAACTCCCAAAGCTGATGGTTAGATACAGATATAGATGTGTACATGGACATAGGACATAAATAGATACAGATCTATAGCGTCGATGAAGAACTTTTTTTCCTTGACATCAATGCTAAAGAAGCAGGAAGAAAGTTATTTAAAGGGGAAAGGAGAATGTGCTTTCCAATCAGACAGATCTGGTTCCAGTTTTCTCTGCTACATTGTAACTATGTAATTCTGAGAGGCAGTTACTTAATCTCTTCAAACTTCAGTTTTCTCTAATGGATAATAAGAAAATTAAATGAAACTGTGTGTTTTATGGGTTTAATATGGCAGCTTGCTTATAATGGATCCACAATGAACAGTTAGTTTATTTTTTATTTAAAATAGAAAATGCCGTCATGTTGTGGGGTGGTTTGTTTGTAATGGCTGATTGTAATGATTCCCCTTTCACAATACACTTTTGTTCATCTGAAATTATTCATCAATACTCATTCTATAAGGCTTGTCTTAATTTTTTCAAATGCTGTACAAATGAAATACCTTTTCTTTTGAGAGGAAAAAAGCCCTGATATGTAATACTTTCTCACTGGATTTATTTATTTATTTTTAATCATCTTGGTTACTTTGATCTTTGTCGATTTTCATCATTTAAAAAATCTATAGTGGACAAAATTTACTGCATTATGCAATTTTAATACAAAAATGTAACACATATGAAAAAAGGAAAAAAGAAAAACCTCTCAACCCAGACCAACCATCTTTTACATTCGATGTACTGAACACTTCCGTAGAAAAATAAGAAAGCTTGGTATAGATCAGCAGCGTTAAGAATGCATGGCTTTCCTACTCAAGTGTTCAACATTCTTTTAAAGGCTACATAGCACATTCCCAAAGTCTTCTATTGCTCTACATATCTTGTTTAACACTGAGAACAGCATCACTGTGGAAAAGGCAAATTCAAGGTACAAACCATTGCTTTCTGACTCCAGAACTCATGCTGGTGTCGCTGTCTCTGACGCAGCACTTGGCTAAACTCTTCAAAACATCATGCTATTAACTGATGACTCAAACCTTCGTTTCTTTACTTGCCTCTACTGTCCTCTCAGGCTGTAATACTTCCCAGAGCTCTATCAACTGATATCTAAGACAGAATGTTTGCTTTTAAGCGCCATGTAAGCATTTTAAGTACATTTCTTTCTCGCAACCCTCAGGACTTATACAGATTTTTTATTTTATTTTTTTTTTAGTTGGAGTTTCACTCCATCGCCCAGGCTGGATGCCATGGCATGCTCACAGTCACCACAGCCTCGACCTTTTGGACTCAGGCAATCCTTTTGCCTCTGCCTTCCAAGTAGCTGGACTACAGGTGCTCATTACCACGCCCAGCTAATTTTTTTATTTTTATTGTAGGATGGGGTCTCGCCAAGTTGCCCAGGCTGGTCTCGAATACGTGGGCTCAGGCAATCCACTCACCTTGGCCTCCCAAAGTGCTGGGGTGGCAGGCTGAGCCACTGAACCCGGTGAGAGGTAGATATTATTGTCAATGTTTTACGGATTAGAAAACTGAGGTTTAAAGAATTTAAGTAATTTTCCAAGGTGGTAGTACTAATTGCTGACATGGAGACAACCTTTAGCTGGCGGCCCCAGGCCTGTACAGGTTCTCACCACGCTGCTGCTCCATTGCCTCCACTAAGAAAATCCCACTGCCGGAGGAGCATGATAGGCTTCTTTTCTCATGTTCTCAAGGTGACGACTCATTCAATGTGCGTCAAAATCTATGTTTCTAATGTTAAGTATCAAGAACACGTAACTAGTGACTCAGTGTCATCATCTATATCTTTGGTGCCCTGAGTGTTGGCAGACATCTACTGGACCACATTTCCCTTAAGTCAAAGAAGTATGGAAAGTTCCCAGCCTGTACTCATTTGTAATGCATTGCTTTCAGAAAGCAACAGTTTAAACACGATGCCTTATAGGTCTAAAGAGTTCAACCAGCTGAATTGTTCTGTGTATCATGCAACATGTGGAATGGAGTCATGTGATTTACCAGAATGCTGACTCCCGAAGTCCCATCATTGTCATCATTGACTTCATGTATTGTCTTTCTTGTGTAACATTCACTGATACGTTGTATATAAATGCAGAGAAAGAAATAATGCAGAAGAAAATGAAAAAATCAGTTGCAAGTCCTCCTTGGGCAACAGACGGTAACATCTTCATATTTATACCGGTAATTGACATCAGCTCTTCCATCACTGAATGGTTTGTTTTGATCTAAAGAAAGATATCAATGAACAAATTGTTGTCACCAATCTAATTATAGCCTCAGGCTTTTTCTTTAAACTATAAGGAAACGTGCACTCCACACTTAAATGTGTGTATGTATTACACCCTTTGTGATCTGGTCCCTCGTGGTCCCTGAATATCCCAGGTTTTGTCTTGATTTCCTAGAACATTCCTGCCTGCCATGTTCACTGGACAAAATGCTACTTATGTTTTGAGACCAACTGGAATGTCATTTCAATTTGTAAATCTTCCCTGATATTTCTCATCAGAGTACCACCTGCTTTATTGTTTGTGTGGCACACCATTTAAAAATATATGATCGGATCAGGCATGATGGTGCACACCTGTAGTCCCAGCTACTCAGAAGGATGAGGTAGGAGGATTGCTTGAGCCCATGAATTTGAGGCTGCAGTGGACTATGATCGCACCCATGAATAGCCAATGCATTCCAGCCTGGGCACCATAGTGAGAACCCATCTAAAATAATAAAATAAAATAATAAAATAAAACAAAATTTCTACGATAGAACCTAAACTGTTATGATGACTATATATTCATATTTCTCTCTCTCATGGCCAGTATCCCTGGGAAAAGTGCCTGTGTTCTATTCATGTTCTGATCTCCAGTACTCAGCACAAAGGTTTGAACCCAGAAGTTGTTCAATATATTGTGTCTTATTAATGAAGTGAATAAATGATAGGGCAATCCATTACACCACCACCCATTAAAATTTAATTTGTAATACATTTAGGTCTCTTAACTTCATACTCACTTCTATGACAGCAGCATTAATAGCAGCTTGAAAAGCCACAAAGCCTTTTTCCCAGAACATTAAGTCTTCACACATGATTGTTTCTTCGAATGCATCACAACGAGCTTTAGAAGATGAAGACACCCATTATGGTCATCTTTATAGGAAAAATCACAATCTCAATGTTTTGAAATACACTCAAAGTCCATGAGAATATGGTGGTTGATGACTCTTCTCAGGTGAGGTTTGTGGAGCACACCAACGAGAAAAACACCATAACTGCCTCAGTAGTGTTTTTAAGATTTGCTCTCAGTGATTTTTCATTCCATCTTACACTTTTTTTCATTAGTCAAGATTATTTTGTTGAGCTTTGCTCTTCCGTTACTTGTGTCCAGAAAGCACTACACTTTAAAAAAAATGTTTGTGGAGCATTGAGCAAGAGCATTTTGTTGAGGTTTCATTCAGGAACAACAGAGAAATAATAGTGAATGTAATTTCTTCATAGAACAACGTACTTAAGAATATAAATTTTATTGAATAAGAATGAATCTCTTTTGTGATCAGAGGCTGAAAGTGTATGTTGTGGTTGTGTGTTCGTGTAGTTTCACTTCTATCACACATGGCTCCTTGTGGTGACTAACATAATAGCAAAAATAAATGTTTTCTACTAGGAAAGTTACCTGAATGGTTCTTGTGTTCTTTCATCTTGTGGATTCTATGTCTCCAAGAAAACTTCAAACGATATGAGAGGGTGTCAGTGAAGGCAACTTTCACAGCATCTATTGAATAGTTTAAATCCAAAGTATCCATGCTTTTTTCATCAGGCCACCCCATGACGGTGCTTCCTGCCATATGAAAAAAATGAATTAAGTAAGACGGTTTCTATGTGGCCCAAAGATACCAGGCCATGATCAATTATGTTGGCGTTGTCTTATGTTAACGTCATCTCCTCCCTAAAGGCAGTTCTGGGCCTAAATGGAGGCAGGAGTGGCACACATGGATGTTCAATGTTCTAGATAAAATCATTAGTGTTACATGACAAACATTTCTATTACAAATATAGTATGCTTTTCCAAATGTATGCATTTCCATTGGGTTAGGGTTAGGGTTATTTAACAAATAATTTAAAGCACAATGAAGTTGAAATAATGGCAATACCAGTGCCTCTATTTAAACTCATGTACAGACAGACCTAGCTAAAGATCAAATATGTACTATGATTACAGTATAGATTTCCATTTGGCAGTGGTGTCAATGTGGCCAAGTTCCCAAAGACAGCATAATTCTGTTACATTTTGATAGTGCTTTCTTAAGAGATTTGTTAATTCTAAAGTATATAACGTAAATCACTGCCTGTTACTGATCAAACCCAACCGATTTAACCCATATAATTTCCCACCATGCATATTCCCAGTGCAATTCAAGGTGTTCCTTTGTCCTGTTTTCTACAACTCAGTAGCTAGATCCAGACCTTAATCAGATTCAGGTCTAACCTTTTCACCAGGCTGTGGGTGGTGGTGTGCTGTCTTATCAAAGTTCATAATTTCTAATTGTTTATTATTTGAGATGTTAGCAGCTGCTGACATTCAATGTGCAGATCCATTAATTCAATAGGGTTTTTTTAAAAAACAGGAATGTTTTATTTCTATCATTTCTTTTCCATTTATTAGTAGAAAGCAATTTATAAATTAGTACTTTTTCCTCATCTATTTGTCTATGCAATAATAAAGTTCACATAGGGCATATGCTGGTATTTTCATCTTATTTATGAATGCTTATAGTAAGAACCCATTACTATGGATTGTGTAACTCTTATCTGAAATGACTGGGACCAGAAGTGCTTTGGATTTTGAATTTTTTTTTCCTTTTGGCTTCTGCAACATTTGCATATACATAATAAGGTATCTGGCAGATGAGACCCAAGTCTAAACAAAAAATTCATTTGTGTCATATACACCTTATACACATTGCCTGAAGGTAAGTTTATACAACATTTTCAATAATTTTGTGCATGAAACAGAGTTTTGGCTGCATTTTGTCTGTGACTCAACACATGAGATTAGATGTGGAATATTTCACCCATACATCATGTCAGTTCAGAGCATTTCAGATTTTGGATTAGGAATGTCCAACAATCCTCCTTCAAAGTAAACAGTTGATTCTATTTTTCCTTTAGTAACATAATGCCAAAGCATGGACTTTAATATCTATCTGACGAGCTTGAAATCACTGCACTTGTACACACCCAGCTTGTGTCAAGTTGGCTGCTGAGTCGTTTTGGCATGACCTGTCCCTTCTGAATGCTCGCTGGCTGTCTGGAATGACAACATTCTGCACCCTGTAACGTTTCTGTCCTAACCCTCAAAACCTCTTCTCCCCCATACTGAGACTCCTGGGTAACAAGGACACAGCAGTGAGAGCACGAGACTATTGCGTAAGTCCTTGTCGGGACTGCTCCACTTGACACACTCAGTCGTCTCGATAGCATTCTAACACTAAACTACCTGTGTCATTACTGAACATGGTTTTCATTGCTGTTCTCAAATTGGCCATCTCTGCATCTGGAGAATAACTGTTGGTTCTTACAGGGTCTCCTCAGGACCCCCTTGCTTCTATTTGCTCTCTTCCTCTTGCCCCCTCCCCCGCCCCCAGAGAGCTGCTATGCTGATCTTGTGGCTTCTAGCACGTTTCTCCCTCCACTTTCACCGTGGGGTACCGAGAAACACCTTGCCACCTGGTTTTGTTGCAAACATTGCCCGTGTGGTTTTGGTTTGGGTGCCGAGTTTCTCTCAGCTATTATGTATTTGAAGAGATTTAAAAACCATGCTGTCACTTCAGTCCAATCTTTCCAAAAACTCCTCACAAACCTCCATTTAAATAATGGTGGAGTATGTCATTTTGATTAAGTGTTAAGATGAGGACAAACCTGTTAACATAGAATTTCATAAATAAAACACTAGAGAACAGAGAAAACTTCTTTGACGCTGGAAAAGAATATATTGATGTTGTAAATAAACGCTAGAAACTTGAGCATTGAACACGACCTATCAAGGAAACCTCAAATGAATGTCTTTTGCAAAAAATAAAATTATCATGAACTGCCTGAGAACGCACCTTTTATGAAAGGGGCTGAAGCCACTTTGTCCATGATCTCCCGGGCCATTTTGGATTCAGGTGCAAATGCAATCACGTAATTTGAATCATTGAAAGTATCGACATGTCCCAAATCCGTGATGAGCATTTGAGGCGAGTCACGAACGTAATGCAAAGTGGAGGGAAACAGATACACAAACAGCACTAGGAGAAACGAGAAGAACCATTCCTACACAGCAATGAGAAAAACATGAAGCAAATCAATAGGTGTTCGGCCACAGATTAGCCATCCACAAACTATTTAAAACACTTAGTTCTGTTATGCAGCCTGTTTTCCGTTTGCCCTTTCTCCTGGCTTGCACATGGCTTGATTTTGCTTTGTCCTGTAATCTGCACATTTAAAAATTTGCACATCATTCACCAAGACAGAGTTGTAACTTCAATTCCAGTGACTATTGAGGTTGAGTTTATTACACTACAGTGCAAGTGATAAAGCCTGGATTGCCGTGTTAAAACCTGAGTGACGATGATGATGGTGAATCAATGGCAGCTGGCCTGGAATGGCAACCAGCTTCCATCAACAGGAGTAAGGTCCTATTTTGACTTCTGCTTTTGACATTGTCATTGTGACCACATCCTAGAATTGTAAATGCAGCATGATGCGTGTGAAGTCCAGTAATAAGAACCCACTTTATTATTTAGTCATAATTCTAAGCACAAGACCTTTCAAAAGAGGGCAGTGTCCTAGTCCTCATATGTGCTCATATTTCTCATTTCCCCTCTTAACCATGTGTGTTGGTTTAGGTCTATACCAATATCTATCTATTTACATAGAAAAATAGACATAATGTTTCTATAACAGAGGGAAAAGGTTGGAAGTAAGACATCTACACTGAGTTAGATCTCAACTTTTATATTTATATAATCCTTGATCCATGTAGGAATTTTTGTGTACATTATTCACTGCCAGGTCACCATTCAGTACAGATTTGCTGAACACACACACAGTGTCTATAATGTCAACTCTTGGACTATGGGTATTTTATTTGTAACTTTAACTAAATTATCATATTTTTTTCTGAAATTACTGAATTTTCTACACAAAGCACATCAAGTCATTCTTATGATCAGAAGTAAAACTTTTAATAGAATTAAAAGTTTAAAATGACATTTTATTTACATGTTTGTCTATATAACCATCATTTCTTTCAAATTGATACTCTCTGTATCCACAATGAAGTTGTGTAGAAGCACTACAATTTGATTGTCTTTTAAGACTGTTGATTACTTTTGGATGACTTCTGGATTAAATTCTGTCTCTTTCACTTACTTTGGCCCTGAACTTCTATTCCTCTGTCTTCATGAGATTAGAATGTGCTCAGATTCAAAAGTGTTATCTCTGCAGCATAAAAATGCATCTTTATTTTTCAGGGAGTTTCCAAATATGAATTGTTTGAAAAATGCCTTCAGTAGGACAAGCAATAATATACTTTAGATTTTATTTGAACAAAATAAATTATATTTGAAAAAAAAACAAAGACCAGAATTTGAAAAAAAATCTAGCCTTATAATAAGCTACTCATATGAAACTTCCAATAATGAAGATAAGTGTTTATGTTGCCTGAGAAGATCCTTTTTGTCCTCTAAATACAAGAACTCATAGACTCTAAACCATACCAACAAGGTCTGTGCTTTCATCCTCCATTTTTTAAGATAGTTCTTGTAGAGAAGAGCCCATGTTTGCTGGCTCACGTTCATGCATCTCTTGCTCATTTTGATCTGCTTCTTTTAAGAAGAAGAAATTCAGGAAGTAAATGTGAAAATCTGAAGTAGAAAACATTGTGCAATCAAACCAAAATGAAACATCATAACAGCTGTTTCCAATTTCACGCCTAGAGAAGAAGGGAACCAAAAAGCTAAAATAAAGCATATGAAGAGATGTTCAAAATCAATATTGAAATAAATAAAAATTAAAACAACCATACGATGCCATTTTTTCCCCTCATTGGACTGACAAGAATCAAAGGAGTTGAATGTTGCTTTTCCCTTCACAGTTGGCATTGTTAAATTGCCTAACGGGGAGAAAGAAACTTTATGTACTGTTGGTGGGGATGTCACCCTACTAGTCATTTTGGTGATTCATTGCTACTTAGCGGTATCCTTCCATCAACCAATTCTGCTCCTGGGTAAGTATCTCAAGGAAATTCTCACATGGGCTCACAAGGAGACCTGTGCAAGGATGGTCTTTGTAGTATAGATTATTGTGGCAGGGTGCTGTAAAACAAATTGTGATGGGTATGCTCTAAAGGATTTAGGAGCAATGAATTGGTTCCAACCATCCACATGAAGAGATCTTAAAAACATAATGCCAATTAAAAAGAGAGAGAGAGAGAGAGAGAGAGAGAGAGAAAAGAGAAGAGAAGAGAAGGAAAGGTTGAGAGTAAGACTGCAATATCACTCTTGTTAATTCACGCCACACGCAATACACATGTTTCAAAAACATCCAGGAACATGCACCCTTTTGACATGTCCCCTCATTTTTGGACCATTTCTTTTTTGCTAGCACAAAGTGTTCCAGCCTTATCTTATATTTTCCCGAACCCAGCCTTGAAATCAGCCATATCCTCAATAAGCCCTGGTTCTTTTTTTTTAAAATGGAAGTTTTAATTTTGAGCTAATTGTAGATGTGCATACGGTAGTCAGGAATAACAGATCCTGTGCTAATCAGTTACTCCCAATAGTAACATCTTGCTAAATTGTAATACAACATCACTGCCAGAACACTGACATGGATAGAGGCAAGATAGAGAACATTTCGGTCACCACAAGGACACCTCCTGTCCCCTCTTTATAGCCACACCCATCTTCCTCTCTCGCTCTCCCATCTCCCACCAGAGCTCTGGTTCCTTTTAAGGGGGGGTGGCATTTAGAATTCACAACTGGGGGTGTGCTCATGGCTATCGTGGAATTGCTTCCCCCAAGTTCTTCTAGTAGATAAATTCTCTTTCTCTTGATTTATGTGTGTATAGGTATATATAAGTACATGCACACACACTTCCGTCTTTGAAGTCACTTTCCACGACTTCACACCAATACCTCCAATTCCAGTCCAACACCGTAGGGCTCATTCATTCCTTTCCATATTTGTACCTCTCTTCTGCCTGAGAAAACCTGGCTACCATTATCTTAATTTATTTCATCCTTTGATCAACGTCCCTGCATGTAGCCCGTCTGCTCTCCCTTCCCTTGCACGGGTGCCCTCCTTACTCCTAAGGCACTGACACATTTTGCAGGGCTGTCCCTCACAGACACCCTTCTCACACTAGCTCCAGCATACCACCTGGTGTCTCCCCTGCAGGGAGTAGCTGGTATCGCAGGCAACACCTCTATGCCTGGCTGATTTGTTAAAATTTTTGTAGAAATCAATTCTTGTTTTGCCACACCGCTGGGATTGTGGATGTGAGCCACCATGCCTGGCCTGTATATACTTTTTAAGAATAAAAACCTTCAACCCCGATAGATAGATAGATAGATGAAAGAAAGAGAGAAAGAAAGAAAGAACTAAAGGATCAACATCAAGAACAACAAAAGGTTTACCTTTGACAGTGAGAAACAGAAATGGAGATTGGGTGTGAAGAAAGAGTTAGAAATTAAAGAAAATAAATATCCAAAATAAGATAGAAACTACTTGAACCAATCATTCTTGTGCCATGATCTCGAGTACCATTATCTCAACCCTTTATTGACCTTTTATCAGCAAAGTCCCCCAAAAGTGCTAGGATAATAAGGCAAGTAGATAGAACATGTCATGGAAAATTCCGAGAATTTAATATTGTTCATTATGACTGGAAAGAGACAGCCTGGGGTGAGTTTGAGTGCAGGTTAATGAAGAGAAAATATTAATTAACATTTGATAAGGATTTCCTCTGATCTAAGTAATTCCAAATGTTTTATAAGAATTAATTTGTTTAATCTTCACAATAAGCCTTTGCCACAGATCCTGTTATTCTTCCCATAATACGGATGAAGAAAACGAGACCCAGAGAGACAAAGTGACTTGCCCAAAACAGCTAATGGTGGCAGAACCAGGGCTGTAACTCTGGAGACCTTACTCGCAACCAATGAACGGTGCTGTGTAGGCCAGTGATCTGTTCAGTGCGGGAGTTTCTACCAGGTAGTGCAGGCAGTGAGGAGTTGTGGGGGGATTCCCCTCAGGCTGTGGGTGCAGTCCTTCTCAGACACCCTAGGAACCTGGAACACAAGAAAAGGAAGATTACCCTCAAGAGGAAGAGAAATGCAGAAGTTTTAGGAAAAAAAAATGTATTGTAAGAATCAGATGGAAAGTGTTTAAATCTAATATTTAATGACACCAATAAAATTCAAGAAAGAAAGGCAAAAATAAGTAAAAAGCAGATAACTCTCTTAAAACTTTTATTGAAGTCAGTAAATAATACAAAATCTTCCAAAGATATGGAGGAAATTTTGTCATCCTCCCAAATTTTCAAAGAAAAGTAAAACACATGTGAAAGTAATGAAGGATAAAAATGCATATAATGAAGAGAAAAAAATAATGCATAGTAAGACATTTGATAAAGAGATATCCATAAATAAGAAGAAATACATTGTAGACAATGCATTGAATAAAATACATTGTTAAAAGTACAATGAAAATTAGTTTTTCAGGACAGTGAGAGGATATCTATGTTTCCCAAAATGTCTATCCACGTACCAAATATAATAACCTAAAAAGGATAGTTTTGGAATTAAAGGTTAAAAGAAAAAGTCTCTATGAATTAAGTTGGGATTGGGAAGCTCAGGAGGGAGTAAACAGCTTACATAAGAACAAAAATCAGTTGGAGAACTTCCAAGTGGAAGTGAAAAAATGTCATTTGCTCAATTTCCTCTGTAAAAATCTACAAGATGGCCAAAATTAAAAAGAACATTGAAGAAATATTTTTTGTAATAAAATTAGAAAATGTTTTAACCTCAAACCACAGATTTACTCCTCCCCTGAAATGTCAGCCAAATTATTAGACGTTGCTTCAAATTAAGGAGAACACCTGTGAGAGGTCTTCAGTTTTCCTGACCAAAATGTGTATATTAATCTAGAATTATTTGAAAAGCACTAAAACACACGGTATCTCTCCCCTTGTAATGACCTGTGATGATGAAGACAGAACCGTAGGGTCTGGTCCCACACTGTGGAATGTCAGGGAGATGGGGGAAGTAGCATCTACCTTTGTGCAATCTCTTTTTTTCCTCATCTGCTAGTTTAGGATAGAGAAGGATGTGAAACACCTTTACACTGATTGAAACAACAATAATCTAAACAAAATTTCAAACTTATTTTTCTTGGCACTAGCAAAACCCAAAAGATTCACGGAGCCATTGATAAGCTGAATTCCTAAGAACTCAAACCCATGAAAGGTAGAAAGATCCACCAGCACTGTTCCCATATCCATGGCAAGTGATTTCATCTAAAGTATGAATAGACAGAGAAGGTAAGCCTACCAAGAAGAGTATTTGCAAAAGTGGGAGGAAAAAAAACCTATAAAATGTACATAACAGTATGGGTTGGATAGAAAAAGAGAAATCTAAAAGAACCCAAGGTACAAAGAAAATAAAATAGCCTAACTATACTTTCTTCACCTTAGTTTTTTTTTTTTAAGCAACAGTGAAAGAGGACCAGAAAACTAGAAAGACCCTCTAAAGCTCTGTGCATTCTCATGTTGTTTGGATTCAGAGGCCCTGCCAGATTTGGACATAAATTTGACCAAATCTATAGCCCATCCCTTCTCATATCCTATACATATATATGCTTATGTGTCAGTGACATTAACAACACAGGCAACATTGTTATTATAAGGTACTTATACTACCTGTGAAGAGATACAGTATTAGTTAAAAGTAACTTTGATTAGTTGTAAATGTGTATTGCAAACTCCAGGACAGCCATAAAGACAAGTAAAAAAATGAGTAAATATGCTATTCTAATAAAGTACATGGAATCATATAAAAGACTAAAAGTTACAAAAAGCAGGAAAATGTGAATTAAAAATAGGAATAAAGAAAATAATGGAACAAAGGACAACACATAGAAATCACTAACAGGAAGAAAGGCAGAAGACCGCAGCGGAGCCCATTAGACTATGTGAGTCCCAAAGTGAGTGAGTGAGTGTACGGAAAATTTCGCATCTATGTCTGTAAGTGGGCGTGTGAGTGGCTGTCTGAGTGGGAACTCAGGAGCCAGTGGCCAGGGCTGTCCTGGTGAAGCGGCTGGTGTTGCAGCTGTTCTGCTTGGACCTTACTGCTTCCCAGGGTGCAGAAGCTGTGTCATTTCTTAAAAACCAGCAAAGTCATTCCTCACAAGAAGCTGCCGGGAGTCACTGTCGGCTCCAGGCTCTGCCTCACCACTGCAGGGCCTGGCAGACACAGTGAGGTCACAGAGGCCACAATGAGGAAGGCCAGAGGCAGAGCCTCCCTGGAGAAGACAAAACAGGCACCCTGCCGCCATCTTGAAAACTAGGCAGGAAAGTGCTCTGGCTTCCTCACTACGGAGTGACAGACAAGATCTCTGTGACTGGTAGACTGACTACTCAGGAGATAATCATGACCAAGAGGGAATATTCCAAAAGCATAAATATGGAGGAACAGGATGAGTGCTGAGTCTCAGGCGCTCCACCTTCTACCCTGGTTCAGCCAAGGGACAAAGCGTATGACCAGAAAAGAATGGGAAAGACCCCTGAAGAGCTCGGTGGTGACTCCAAAACTGACCCAACCCC